TTCAATAAATAGTAAACTACTTTACGGCAATCGAACAACTTTCTCCAAAGACTACTTTGAAGAAGTTCGCCGGATACTGCATGGGCAAGAGGATTATAAAAAAAAAAAAAAAATATTTTCATGAAAAAAATTTCATTAAAATTTTCCACAATCGAGTAATAAAATTTTTCAAAAAGTTTTACAAACAAATGAAATATATATATTTTTTTATATGGTAGAAAGTGGTAGCAAAATAATTTATTTTTATTTATTTATTATTTCTTTGATGTTGCTGCTGGGGTTGAACTATTCAAATTTTGCAACAAAGCTTCATAAAACAGTTTTTTCTCTGAAAGGTTATAAGAAGGATTCTGACCTATGACTTTTTGTAAAGAATTGGATAAATCATTGTCAAGGTTGAATTTTCCTTGCATAGATTTTGGAAATGAAAGGTAACGATCATAATCCCCACCCTCCAATTCTAACCGTAATGCCGCTTGTTCGTCTTGACTATTCTCCAAAGTATCTGGAACACTTAATTTGTTCGTACTTGAATTAATAAAATCCGACCAATTGATATCTTGCACCACAAAATCAGTTTGTCGCGGTGGTGGTATACTTGATCGCATTTCATATTTATGTTCCGATTTTCTTTTATATCGACTCTTTTGATTCATCTTTGAATCGGTTCGTGACGAATTATTCATTAATGTTTTGTGCATTCCTCGATTATTATCTTGTTTTCGTTGGGTAGCACTTCCTTCGCGTCTTAATGGTGGTAGCGGTGATGATGATTTATATTCTTCATACATTTGTTTAAGTGGTTCTTGTATTGGCTCAGCTAAAGATTGAAATGTTTTTTTCCCTTGTTCAATCGCATCCTCAAATTGGCCGGGTCGAGCATTTTTTACCTTTGTGTCCAACCTTGTATTACCATTTACTTCTGAATTCTTCCTTAACCTCTGACTTAAGGAGATAGATTTTCCTCCAAGGGTAATTTGATCCATTGAACCGCGACCGAGACCAGTAGAAAATAAAGCATTTTGATTAAAAGATGAAGAAGTTACATAAACAGGGCACGTACGCGTTGAATGTTGACTTAATGGGCGAAGCATTTTTTTGAAACGAGATATTTTTTCTTTTTTTTTTTTAACAAATCTGTTTGTGAGATTCTTATTGGATGACAGCAAAAACCACGTGAAGAATAAATGACTTGTTCCAAAGTTGCATGTTGACGCATTATGATATCTTTGGTAATATGGACTATGTTTTTATTTTTGAATTTATTATCGATCCAAATTAAGACAAATAAGAAAATTTAAATAACAAAGACGTAAATGATTGCGTTTCACTAGTAGATAAACCCTCCTTTCGTTTTCCCAATCATATTTAATTTTAAATTCTTTGTCATACTGATGGAAAAAATTAAAACAACACCTTTACAAGAACAAAATTGTGTTCTAGTTGACAACTTTGCTATCTTTGTTCAAATCTTATTAGGGACAATTGCATTTTCAACCCTCATTTATAAAAGACACAGAGAGAGACCACAAAGACCATTACGTATATGGTAAGACCCCTCGTCGAGTAGAATTCGTATTGAATTTTAAAAAAAATAAAATAAAATAAAAAAGAGTATGGCGCATTAATGAAATCAATCTTTTTTTTTTTTTTTTTTCCTTTTCACCTTTCTTTTTCAATTAGGTTTTATGATGTGAGCAAGCAATTGCTAGGAGCTGCAATAGTGCATGG